ACACAGGCTGCTCGTGGCGTGAGGCTTGTACTGTAAAAGATGTCCGCCAGACACGTTGGCAGCAGGAGAGACACAAATTGATTTCCTGCAAGACAGCAGCGAGAGCCCAAATGGAGGAGAGCTGCTTTGGCGGAGCTTTCATTAATTAATAGAGTCTCAGGAGAGGATTCCATGATCTGGTTCCTGCTCCTTCATCACAGCACCGTGGCTAAGGATACGGCCGCCTATATATAGCCCACATATATGTATGCATGGTCATATATACTTTAGTCTATGTACTATATATGCAGCCTACAAATATATAAATATATGTGTATATATGTATACATATACACACATATATGTTTATATATATATACACATATATGAATACAGTATATATAAATATATGTAGAAAAACAAATGTATATGTACATTACATACATATATTTATATATGTATAAATGTATACATATACTGTGTATGTATACACACACGTGTATATTGTTTTCCAACATACTTTTTTTTACTACATATACTGTGTATGTATACACACACATGTATATTGTTTTCCAACATACTTTATTGGAAAAACAAACATATATGTATATATGTATGTGTATATACATATATGTATATATATATTTATATGTATATATGTTTAAATATGTATGAACATAGACCATATGTGGACACACACACACACATACATGTGTGTGTATACGTGTACATTGCTTCCTGCAGGTGGCAGTGGCTGCATGTCTGCCAGAAATGAGGAAACTGAGAATTATTTTTTAAAGACTTCTTTTTCCTGTAATTAAAAACATTAATTAACATCTACCAGGTGAAAGTCTTTAAAACACATTTTTGTTCATTACTGTGTCGGTACTTTTCACTTTTTTTTTTTTAAATCACTTTTTCAACCTCTCGTTTCATGACTTTAAAACTTTTAACTCAACACATGACCATTAGGTGGGAAGGTGGAAAATGAGAGAAGTCGTTAAACCCTCTCCAGGCCTGGAGATGGCACTAATTACACCCCTGCCTTCATTTGTTCGAACCCATTTTCAGACATTTCAGTGAACTGACTGCTGATGAGATGCAGTGATAGCGTGTAATTGAAAAGTACACGTCGACTAAACCTGATCTCACCTGAGTAAAGGAACTGTTGCTCGGCGGTTCAGATCGGTTCTACAGGAACAAATATTTCTCCCCTGCTCATGTCTTTCCTCTGTCGGCTTCAGACAGACAATAAATGAGCTGTGCACAGCAGCAGCGGTAATAAACCATGAAAAGGTCAATTACACCTTACTCTGCGACTTGTTGTGACCGTTTACAATCAGTCTGTGACCAACGCAGATTAATTTCTTCTCCCCTCAGAAGACGTGCATCATTATAAGATTAAAAACATATTTTGGATCTGAACGTCGCTCATTCCTGCCGTCGTCATCCCAGAATTCCACAATATCACTAATCATTAATAAAGTCAAAAGTCCTTTGAGAGGAATAAAACGTGCACATCTAAGAACACCTCTTAACACACACACATACTGTATATACATATATTATATATATTTATATATGTATATATGAGTATATATACATACATGTATATATTAGATGTATATATTTTCTTGTCTTCATTTATTTATACAAACATGGAAACAGTTCTATCAAATGTGAAGGACACTTTGTTTTACTGCAGAGCAGGAGAGAGTGGATACTGGTGGTAAAGCTCTGCTCACTTTCTGTTCAGCTGTTAGCCTGACAGAGACAGGGTTTCGCGGTTGTGTCGCCATCTCCCATAAATTTATTAAGAAAGTCATGTTCTGTTTTAGTGAATGTGAGTGACGTAGGTACTTAGTTACAGGATGGGAATCCTGACTTATGACAAAGATGGAGTTGCATCGCAGCGTAGGAACGGAACTCCGACATGAGTTGAGGACCTCGTACATAGAGTCATTAGTAAAACAGTTGTTATGGAACCACTGCTGCTCTCTGACCTGTCCCATCTGAACCTGTTCAGTCTAAAACTTTCTGTTGTCCATGGCTCTGTCCTCTTCCTCTTCCTCCTCTTCCTCTGTTTATTGCTGTTTGATGTATTTCCTCATTATACCCTGCTCTCAGATGGTACTGTAGTACTGCAGTACTGTAGTACACTCATAATGGAGAGCTCAAATTGTTTACGACTGACAAAAACACACACCGTCATTTGCCTCCATTTATGGCCCGGTCTCAGGGAGAACAACAGTACTTTGTGCCGAGCCTCTGGTCCGACGCCAGGATTTAATTGCTTACATCATCCTCCAAACATTTTATCTTCTCATCAAGTGATAACAGAGGGGCTGGCGGCGGAGGAATGGGGGTGAGGAGTGAGTGGAGGGGGAGGAGGGGGGCTGTACTAAAATCTGTTTCATCATCTCTGACTAATAAAATATGCAGCTCAGATAACGGAGTCCAGAGGATGACGTGCTGCTGTGTGATGTCACAGGTAACCACTAACTCGACCATCAACCAAGTCATCACGACTGCACCTGTCCGTCACTCAGCCAACAGTCACAACAACAACGACAGGACTACAGGAACATTAACAGTGAAGTCGTTCAGAGAGCAGAGGAAGAAGAGCCAGTAGAACTTTGTATCTTCATCCCTGCTATCACTTCAAATTCACCAACATACCAACAGAACCACATGTAACCCCCCCAACCCCCTCCTCCCTCACATGTGAAGGCCGCTGAAGTAGCCGTTGTTCTGTACAACCCACACGCCTGTTGTTGTTCTTGTCAGTCCTCGACATCCGTCTTCTAGGAGCAGCTGTGGTTTACCCAAGTCTGAGTGGCAGAGTTCCCTCAGGGTTGGATAAAATTTTTATACACTACTTTATTGAAGCTGTGAAATAATTAACCATGTCGCTGTCCGTGGTGCTGAACTTAACCTGACAACCTGAGGGGTGAGGAGAATCACAGCAGCAGCCCAGAGCAGCTTCATTACAGCTGAGAGCCACAGCGTCAGGTCAGTGAAGCGATGGAACGTTCCAGATACCGTGACTGCACTACGTACATGAACATGTACAAATGTGTGTGTGGGGAAGTTTAGGAGTTTAGAGTCATATTTAATGAGCTTCAGATGTTTGGAGCGGGGGCTGATGATGAGGGCAAAAATCATAATAAATCTAGTTTAAATCTAAACAAGATCTAACAAGGTTTCGTATATGTTCAACTCAAATATTGAACCGCATTTGCGGTCTGAAACACCCTTTCTGGGTGGGGGGTTCTGCATTACATTAGCATGAGATTAAGCAGTGTGCAGGGCAATAATTGTTTTTTTTTTAGATTATCTTGTTTTATCTTGGGAATCCAAAATCGTAATCGAGTCCATACAAGTCCATAGTCAGGTCTGACAGCAACCGTCCTCAGGGTCGACCTGGTGACCTGATGTTCAATTGTCTAAAGTGCCATTAACAGCTAAATATATTTAAAAAATATTTCTCTCGACTGTTCAGTAACGGAAGAGTTTACGACCATTCCAAACAATCCGACGTCTTATTCAGGAAA